GTGTTACAACAATATTACTTCTTTGAGACAATAATATTAATATCCTTTAAAGTGAAGATAGTAAGTTTTTTAGCATTCATACTGTAATATTACTGTAATTGATAGCAATATTACTCAAAATTAGGGTTAAGTATATATGGGTTATAATACCGTTATGGCTTAAAATTGGTTAATTCCATCTTCTAATTAAAAACTCGTGTCGTGAGTTTTTTTTCAATTCGCTCTTAAAGTAATATTCACATAACCCCTTAAAACAGCCGCCAAAAATCGCACAATAATGACAATTAAAATATGGGGCAATTTGCTATAGGTCCTCCTAGAGTAGATTTTATGTGTATAAATCCAACTAATAAATTTTTATATTAATTAAATTTATTCTAATTTTTTGGCAAAAATACCCTTGATAATATATGGAAAATCGCTAAATAATCAATCCACTTATTATATAAATCGTGATCCCACAAATGTCTCCTCCAAACTGAAATCCCAACAATTTCTCCCCAAAATAATTAGTAAACTACCATCTCAAATCCCTCCCAGAAATCGGTGTAATCGACCATCTCAAATCCCTCTCAGAAAATCGGTGTAAACACAGAAAGAAACATGGCTACCAAATTGCAGTTCGTCTTCCATAGCAATTACCTTGAAACCTTTCGTTGTTAGAATTATTTTGTTTGCTATTTGAATTCGTTTGTTATTTGCAGAGTTTCAGTCGATGTTTCAGGTTTGGCTTTTCAGACGTATGTGAACAACAACATCCGAATACCTCAAGAAAGCCAAAAGCTAGTTCAAACGCCTAAAAATCTTGGTAAGTAACATTCTTACAATCTAAAAGTTCATATGTTTCTTATTTGTTGGTTGTATTTTATTTTTACTGTAAGCAATTACTTGATTTCACTTTGAAAATTTCTCGTTTGTTGTTCGATTTCGGTTTGAAGTTTCTTGTTTGCAATTTTTTGTATGAAATCTTGTTTGTAGTTTCTTGTTGTTTTTGTATCCTGCATTTTGTTGATTCTCATATAATTTGCATAGTGTCTACATTCTCTTGTGTGTTTGCAATTTGCTACTTGCTTGAATTGAGCCATCAGGTACTTATTTGCACTTTGAAATTTCTTTTTTGGCATTTTTTGTTTGAAATTTATTGTTTTCAGTTTCTTGATTGCACTTTGAATTTTTTGTTTGCAATTGCACGTATTATTTCGGTAATTAATGATTATAGTTATACCATACATGATTATGTTTCGATAAGTGCACTAACCGTTACAGAAAAAAAACACCGCTTCACATTATCGTGCGAACCTCGTTTTGTTGTTCATGTATTGCACTTTGCAGTTTCACTCTATATTTGTTGATAAAAGGATTTCATGTGTTTACATTCACCTTGTAAATTCCAAGTTCAAATTGCAAATGAAAATATTTGCTTTTATATTGCATTCTGTAATATTGTTTTTCTCAAACTAATGCTAATATCAAATTGATATTTGTTGTTTCAATGTTTGCATTATTTGGGGTCGAGTTTGCTATTTACTAAAATAATATAACAATAACGCACAATCATCAAAAAACAATAAAAAAATAAGGGTAAATTCCACTTTACCCCCTTGTACTCTGCCCAAGAACCACTTTACCCCCTCGTACTCTTAATTTCGTCGATTTACCCCCTTGTACTTGTACAATTTCCCAATACAACCCTCTTGTCAACTTTTTTCGATTTTGACTCTGACGCCATTTGGTCAAGAGTCAAAATATTGACGTAAATATTGAATTTTTTCGATTTTGACTCTCGAGATTAGAAAAGAGAAAGTTTCACACATTCATATATTTTTTTCTTTGCACTGGGTGGAATCGATCAATTTTTTGGTCTTGATTTTTACTAAGTTAGGGGTTCAATTTGGGGATATCTTGGAAGGGGAAGTGGTGGGAGAAAAAGAAATGACAATATTGACAAAATTTGAAGGAGAAGAAGAAGTGGACGGAGGAGAAACGACGCGTTATAGGCAGTGGCAATTTTGTAATTTACAGAGTTGACCAAATGGCGTTAGAGTCAAAATTGACAAAATTTGAAGGAAAGGACTGTATTGGGAAATTACAAGTACAAGGGGGTAAACCGATAAAATTGAGAGTGCGAGGGGGTAAAGTGACTCTCAGGCAGAGTACGAGGGGGTAAAGTGGAATTTACCCAAAAAATAAAATTCGAAAAATCCAAAGAAAAAAGAAAGAAAGAAAAAGAGATAGTGAGATTTGAAGAGAGAGAGAGAGAAAGGAGAGATGTGACGGAGAAAAAAAAGAGGAGAGAGAAAGTGAGAGGATAGATAAAATAGATGAAATCCTGAAATGGAGGAGAGAGAGAGAAGTGAGAATAGGGGATTTATTCCCTTATTTTACATAAATAATTATTGCATATAAATATTAATTAAGTGTATTTAGATTTATATACTAATAATTTAAATTAATTTACATTAATTTTATTGACCAAATGACCTACACCAATATTCATTTAATGAAATGGACTTCTACTTATATAAAATCTAAATAAGGGGTATCTAGCTAATTTTCCCTTAAAATAAACAAATCAAGGATTTTAAGACAATTAAAATCGCACAATAATAACTATTGAAAGTTTTTGACGAATTTTAAGAAATAAAAAAACAAGGGGTAATGGTAAATAGGCCCATGACAAGGGCACTTAATTAAAAGAGGGACATCCAATTTTTTTGTCTATCAAATAAATCCAACCCATTCAAACTTATTTGCAAATAAGAAGAATCCTTTCATATATACCAAAATTACCCCCAATTCATTGAAACTCAATTCAACTCTAATTTCATGATTTACACCCCAATTTAGCCCAATTTCATCAATTAACCAATTTTAACCCTAATTTCAATTTTGATCCCAATTTTAACCCTAATTCTTATCAATTCCACCCATTATGCTCTAACTTCCTTAATATTACACATTGACCCCGGATTTAAACAAATATATCACATTAACCCCCAAATTTTTTTTTTTTTGCAGAAAATAATTTTTTTTCTGAAATATTTTTTTTCCGGCCAGATTCCGGCGTTGACCGCCGGAGAAAACCGGTCTCCGGCGTTGATTTTTTTTTTTTTTTTTTTATAATTTTGTTTTTCATAAAAAAAATATTTTAATTAATTTTACTGTCTTGGCTGCTAAATTACTGTCTCCCGCAGCTATTTAACTGTCGGAGACAGTAATTTAACTGTTAATTGACTCTTTGTTTTTTTTTTCTTCAAAAATATTTTAATTAATATTATTGTATTCGTTGCTAAATTACTGTCTCCAGCAGTTATTTAAGTAATTTAACTGTTAATTGACTTTTTTATTCTTAAAAAAAGTATTTTTAATTAATATTACTGTATTTGTTGCTAAATTACTGTCTCCGACAGTTATTTAACTGTTGGAGACCGTAATTTAACTGTTACTTGACTTTTTTTATATTTTTTTTATTTTTTTCCTTAAAAATAATTATTTTAATTAATATTACTGCCTTGGATGTTAAATTACTGTCTGTAACAGTAATTTAACTGTCTTAGACAATAATATTAATAATATTACTGTTCGGAAAAAATAATATTCATAATATTACTGTCCTAGACAGTAATATTACTGTCCCAGACAGTAATATTACTGTTTGGGACAGTAATTTAGTAGTCAAGACAGTAATATTAATTAAAATATTTTTTTTTCTAAGAAAAACAATTCGAAAAAAAAAACAAAAAAAAAAAAGTCTACGCCGGAGACCGCCGGTCAACGGTGGTTGACCGGCCGG